TTTATTATTAATTAAATACCAAACAGAAAACAATAAACTTGCGGAAAAGATGGTATACCGCAAACATGAGGTGCAAAAAAATTTTTTTATACGTTTGCATGCAAAACAAATTTCTTGTTATAGGGGTCTAAATACAGCACAAACAACATTTTCCAAAAGACCAAAAAAGCGAAAAAGTATATTTTAACAAAACGCAATTGACTAACAGGTCGAACAACTGATATTCTTAAACCCTGCTGACTGCCTTTGGCGATTGCCAAATAAACGGATATATATATATATATATATATATGTGTATGTTAGCTCTATTAGTAAGGATAAACTGATAAACTTCTTTCTTAAAAGTATACAGTCATATACTTTTGTTGTTCAATGATGAACACTTCTTTCATCGTTATAATTATTGATTTGATCGTTAACATGTTGTGTAGTGTTATGGAGTGTATTTAATTCGGACTAACTGCACTAAGTCCAGGACGAAAAACTATTAACAATGAATACAAAAGGTAGTTTCTGCAATATGAAATGATAGGGATAAACTGTTGGGAATTTTGACTGCCGATGGAAAACAATGGTATAGTGGATAGGGGTGGGAATTTTGCATTGCAATAGATTACTAGTATCTACCGACCCTCAAAGAACGTTGCAAGGGTTCTTTATTGTTAAGAAAGAGTAGTACTCTATCTATACAAGTCTTCGGATTTAACATTCCCATTCTGATCAGACGAGGCTGCGAATTTATACAATCCTAGCAGCAAAACGAACGACACACTTTGACAAGGGTTTTAATGCCGGTCGGAACAATACCAAGATGACCATATTTCTATATCACCCCAGTCAAACTTCAGAACGTTATGATATGGTGTATTATGCATATCTATCAAATTATTGGTAATTTGTTTTGCCGTCTGCAAAACGAAAGACTTGCAACAATCATTTGATATACTAGTAAACGAATGGCCTGTCAATTTATTGATTACAGATACACCTACACCGAAGAGACCTTAGTGACGTTACAAAGAATATGACATGATCCAAACTAATCTCTTATATTTTGAAATGCTGATATAATTCTTAATAAACTCAATAGTTAATTACCGGTGTTCAAATCTCATTAATCGATTGAGATTCACATGAACTCCAACATAGGACCGAGATAGGGTAATTCGACAGGGAATACGTCTCCTGCTATGCATGCATCACGAATGTACGAATCCACACTCCGTCAAATGTCACTATCGAAAATGGGACTCAATCGGTAAAATTACACATTAGACGTCTCTTCTGGTATATAAAGATCTATGACAGTGAAAACATGGCGCTAGCTAAAGTGAGTTGAAACACATACATATATCATATCGGTCTAATTGGTGACCGTAAACGTTATGTAATATGGATTTCAGTCGTTCTTCCTCATGACTTTGTTGGAACAGGTTTTGTGTAAGGACCCTACTAATAAAGTCAGTGTTGTGTTAAAATGCACAAGCGTAACTTATCAACTGTGATATGTAAACTCTATACGATGGAGTATAGAGTATAATACTGCTGAGAAATGGGAAATGAGACAATTGGAAAGTCGAAATCATAACGTTTGTCATTGATTCTAGTTTGAAGTCATCCATCTATGTCAATGTCGAGTGAAAGATCAAGATATGAAGGAGAGCTTCTAGTTTCGGTAGTATCCTTAATTTCAAGTTCGGCTGGGATATACATGTATGAGATGAAAGCGCTCACTGAAATGTGGGTTATTTGGTGATAGGACATCATCAATATATCTAAAATTGAAATTAAAGAACTTAAAAGATATTTTTCCTTTTTGATTTTGAGAAAATTTTGAATGAAGTCTGCTTCATATGAGTACAAAAACAAGTCATTCATTAGGGTTGCACAATTAGTACCCATTAGAATACCGGCTGTTGATTTATCAATCCACCTAACTCAGCAAATATGCTGTCGATCAAAAGGTCAAGCATTTTATTATATCGTTTTCGGTGTATTTTGTTTTTTGGAATCAGTGTGTTTTTTTTGTTTTTTTTTTGGTTTTTTTTATCAAGACTAGTGTTAACAAAGAGGCGGAAATTACCAATAGCCCATATAAAGCTCACAAATAAAAAAAACTTATTAACAACGCAATGGAAGAATCAAAAGACGACGAAAAGACAAACAGGTCCTCATAACAATAAATAGACAACTAACGACCGAGTAACACGAACCCCCCTTAAAAAACCCAACAAAGTTGGGTGAACTCACGTGCTCCGGAAGAATAAGCAGATCCTGCTTCACTAGTGGCGCCCATCATGTTGCTCACGTTAAGTAAATGATTCTAATTTGGTGATGTCACAATCGAGGAAAAGAGGACAGTTACAACAATTGGAACATATTCGTGGTCATTTGAGACACAGATATTCCATGACTGCCAACCACTTCGAGATGGCTACAAACGTTATTATTTTTTTGAGCCGTGAATATTTTTTACCGAATTAAGATGTTCATGTTCTGCAACATGAATGTTTGAAATAAATTATATTACACGTCAGAAACACCATATAGCACATACGTTTTGTGCTATTATTATACGGTTGGTGGCCGTAAATATTTAGTTATAAAATATAAATGTGTGTTTATTATTTTGTTTTTCCAATTTTTTTACCATTTCACCCTCTGCTGGTTGACTGTTAGTTCCCGAGGGTATGAAAGGACCTGTAGCTCGGTACGGACATGAAAATAAGGATATTATAATTTTTTGATATGCTGTTAAAAATGTCAGAAAATTATTTTGAATATAGGAAGGACATGTATATAAATATCTTCCTCTTGCATAGACCTGGTTCCTTGTCCAGTTTGGCTATACCTTTTAGGCTTTTACGTTTTTTCAAAGTTCGTATCAAGTTTTGGCATAAATATTTTGGCCTCGAATTTCACTCAACAAACGTGAATTGTCGAAATGCGCATCAGATATACAGTAAAAATGTTACCTGTGATGTTACTAAGATAATACTAGTTTTATGTGTCTTAGGCTTTGATATTAACATTAATAAAATAATTCCTCACCGAACAATGGATACATATAATACTGTAAATTTGATTTTACTTTATGGTCATCGTTATTCTGTTAAATGGGCAAAGTAAATAATCGGAATTGGATACGTGGTATTGTGTCATGTATACATTATATCTCCTTCAATCCTTGCATACACCTTTATTCCGTGTTTTTCACGAAACAAGTGTTTTGACATTTGCTTTCAAACCTTCAAAATATGATTTGATTTTGTATAGTTTAAATTATGTTTCAAAGGAAAATAATAAATAGAAGTTTAAGAAACACGGAGCAATTTGTAACATTTGAATTTGATCAAATTTATTTGCTGAATGGTGGTGTAATTGGTAGAAAAAAGTTCAATATAAAGAATATAAGTACAGATTTATATTTTTTTTTTTTACATTTGTGACCTTGATATTGTTTTGTGTGCAACAAGGTAACATTCAAGATGTTTGAACTAAGCGTTTAGATTTCATTCGCTGAAATATCTTTCATTTATTTCCTAAATTTACACACAAATAGTTTATATAGAACAAGCTTCAAGAAACTTAGATTATGATGTCGTGATTTTGATATTACAATGACGTTATTATTACCATTTGCTCATAGAGGAGATACAACGAAATTGTCGAAAAGGGCTAAATATGGGCACCTTGGGTTTAATGTATTTCACTTCAAGGAAAATATCTAGTATAACTAGTATTCCCCAAATTAAACGTGTTGTTAGCATCGTCGCCTATGGTTTTCTGTTCCTCTTCCAGGTATTCATGCATTGAACTATGTTTGCCAGGGTGAGCTAATGTGCTCCTAAGTATTAACCGGCGAGTTTTATTCGGGTAAGTAAAGTTAAAGTTTAACTTCATTCCTCTGACAAAGACTAAGCTAATCTGGTATCCCGTTCTAATTTGTTAAGTAATTATTATTGATGAGTAGAATATTTCACCACTTTACTTCTTTACTTAATAACAATCTTGTGACACAGCTTGTTCCGTTTTCTGTTTTTTTCTGCATTACACGTTAAACATATATTTGATTCTTTTGAGTCATGTACTAATAATTTAAGTAGTTACGGGTCATATCAGAGTTTTTGGTATATATATATTCAAATATATGGAATGATTCCACACAGAAAGTATCGAAACTTCGTATAACTTTCAAAACTGTGAACAAGAACAATATGTTAAGCTAAATTTAGACAAGGTAGAACATTCACATTTGGCACAATTCAGATGTGGAATATTGCCTTTTAGGATAGAAACTGGACGTTATATCGGTGAACGACCGACAGAAAGACTGTATATTTTGCGCTGATGAAGTGTCCGAATCCGAGACTCATTTTTTATTGGACTGTTCATTCTATAATGGTATCCAAGAACATTTGTGTGGTGAACTCGTGACAAAGTCTTCTTATCTATGAACAATAACGAAAAAGTTAAATTGTTAATGTTGAATCATACCCGAAAATTAGCCAAATACATTGTCCAGGCATACTCCAAAAGACGTAGTTTTATTTACAAATAGATATCTAAAATAATATTAATGAACTTTAATGTACAGTATTGAAGATAAATTCATGAATAATTTGTTATTTGCAAGAACGTGAAAATGTGTAATATTATTTAAGGTGACTTATAGGTCCATTGGGCCGGATGTATTATTACCTCTTTATATTATATCGTTAAAATTTGTACATATTTACACATGTCACTATAATAAATGATTTGCTTACTTACTTACTTATATATATATTTTGACCTTTTTATGAACCTAATTTAAAAAATCTAGACTGTTGAAGGGAACTCAAATCCATTTAACATATAAAGCGACCAAAATAATGTAATGTTTGCAGAACCAAAATTTCTCTCGTTGCTCTTGATAAAAAATATATCAACATAAAATTGGTTCCGGTATACTTGATCTTAGTCTCTTTTTGGATTCAATATATAACGAGTAGAGAATATAAAAGTTTGGATATCTTTACTCATTAAATCACCTCTACATTTAAAGTCACATGACTCTGTTTAACCATCTATAAAAGCTTCATAAACATCAATAATTATTATTTGTAACATTTACTGTAAGTTGCCCAATAATGAATTAACAACATATTTAAATGAGTGTAACAGCTGGCTCCTTTATTATTCTTAAATATTATAGATCGCCGATAGGGTTAAATAAAAACCGTAGAAAGAAGTAACTTGTAAATGTAGCTTTTTGCAACTTGTATAATTATGTATACGAGACAATCAATATGTGTTTTGTTTACCTTTAAAAAACTGGTGCACACTCTTATTGCCGACTCAAATACTTCTCCTCATTATGCTCATTAAAACATGTAACAAATTTCTTTTTAGAGGTCGGGTATACATTAAGAGGAAAATTGAAATAAAATTATGATGTACCGAAAAGCGAAGTGATAAAATTATGAGTCAAGTGTACAATAGAAAAACAAAGTATATGAGAAACAATCCAAAAAGAGAAAAGTGTCGCAATTATAAAAAATATATAAATATATCGCAAGGATCCAAAATTCCTTGCTAAGTGCCTAACTCCTACAAACCCAACAGTTGCTTGCATTTGATTGTAATTCCATTTAATCGTTACTGTAAATAAAACATTACTATAAAGCAAATATAACAACTCCTCTTTTAACTCTTTGACGAAACAGCCTTAGTATTAACATGAGTCGGATAACATGATATTGAACTATCCACTAACTCTGTCCATATTTTTCTTATTTCATTCTCATTATATCGATGTCCAGTTATTCGACTCCTAAAAACGCACCCTGAAGCTGTTGGTTTATCATAAGTAAAACCATAGTCGTTGCTTATTTTAATATTTGCCTTTGTTCTACATATTCCAGTGATAAAAATATCCTCTAACCAAAAATAAGGCGTATCTAAACTCGCAGTGTATAACTTTTCAACTGAATCACCTGAAATCACATATGAAGTTCCACTGCAATATGGTGGATACACAGTTCCGTTAAATAATTCTTTCGGTGTGTACCATTTTGAACTCTTATCCTGAATTGGTCTTGCGCCTGTTATTTGCATTCCAATCACAGTATCTTTTAAGCGTTTGTGTTTTAAAACATTTAATAAATATTCTAAATTTACAAACATATCGTCATCAGCTTTTAGCACGTATTTAGCAGACGGACAATATGTATATGACCATTTCAACATGGCGACGGATTTATAGGACAAATTTCTATAAGAATCTACAAAATCCTCCTGAATAATGTCATGATAAGCGTTGCTTTCATTAAGTATTTGCTGTTGAATAATTGAATCTGAAGTCTTTCCTAGCATAAATACCACTGCTATTTCTTTGTTCGTGTTTGCAATAGATCCCCAAGTTTCCCGAATTGTCATTCGTTGTCTGAAATTTGCCGGAGCTACACAAGCAATCACGGCTAGAAACACCGACTTATTATTTGTTTGACATGTATTTTTTTCTAAAATGATATATCTAAAGTCATGTGGATTTATGTGTGGCGACGGCGTAGGTAATACAAGTGTCTTATATATTTTTTTTAAGTAAACTAATCCAGATATATTGTTCATTGATACATTATTTACAAATATATCGTCTCCTGTCATAGTAATTGTGTACGGGATATTTATATTCCAGAAAAGTAAAAAGAAACAACACGATAAAAGTAGAATTATAAATATCTTCCTGAAGTTCTTCCAGCAATTCTGCTTATGGGAATGTGGTATGTCTTGGTCCATCAGGATAAATTTGACTCATCTGGAAAAGATAGAAAGTCAGAATTAATGCACATTTTGTTAATAATAAAATAGGGCGAAACTTGTCAGGTTAAAAAAGAGGAGAAGATAACAACCGGGAAATAAAAAACTCTTAAGTCGAAGAGAAACCGACAAAATCATGGCAAAATAAAACGAAAAACGATGAAAAGACTAAAAACAGTCTACAAAACACAACATAAATAAGACTGAGGAACACGAACCCCTCCAAAAACAGGGGTAGTTCTAAGGTTAACATACACGCGTTTCTTTACGTTATAAGAAAACACAAAACACCATTGAAAAATGATGGTCATAAAAACTGGACATGAAACCACCAACCGTAACACAACGTCATCATGTCACGACAGTCACGTATATTAGAGGGTATGAATGGGGTTCACAGAATAGATAATAATGTATCAAATGTTCCAAAAAATTGACCAAAGAAATAAAGAAAAGAGAACAAAATTGTAAAAAATAAATTGTGCTAAAATAATAATGGACAAAAAATATAAAGAATAGAGAAAAATGACATAAAAAATTAAAGAAGGCAAACTTGAAGGACCCCCTCACCATCATCCAGACCCTTATATTAGTATACGAATAAACGGAGATATGGCTAAACGTCAACGAGACAGTAATCATGTAGCAAAAAAAAAAGAAGCAAAAGACGTCTAAACTGGCATTAACACCATAAAGGTTTTCACAATAAGATATGCTTACCAGAAAAATATTGCCATAAAAAGTACACGTAAGAGGGCCTTACTTTGATTGGTAAAACATTTTTCGATTTGGTTGATACTTTCTCAGAAAAGAACGTAAGACATTCCGATGAGAACTACTTATTGGTAATTCCTCGAGTTCTTCAGGGGGTAATTATACCGAAGAAACAAAATAAGTTTATCCATCTATGTATTTAAATAATCACCAGATCTAAGAATACCTACATCACACTTTTTAGAACTGAGCTTGAGAAACACAATCTGCTTTTTCTCCGTACGATTATGTAACCTTTATATTTACAAATTGCGCTTCACACTCAATTCACTATTCATTACTTTGAATTCAATAGAGCTTATGATATACGTATGGATTACATGAATCATAACTAGTTTGTAGAAAAGAAACGTACTGAAAGTTCCCGGATAGTAGAACAAGTGTTTCCCTTTTAAGATATACTTCTGGATCTGTCACCTGTTGATAAAAAGAGCCACGCGAACAACAGGATATGCATGCAAACCTCGTTTGAAGTATTCTTATTGAAAATCATACACCTTAATCGGTTATACAAAACTGTTTATCAAAGATTATTTTATACTAAAAGTTTAAAGTTTAAAATAATTTATATATGATTAGTTGTCTTGTGTACAGTGTACTCTTTATCCTTTCTTTTACAATGCTTATATTCTGATACCAATGTCTATAGGAACGGCAGGCAATCTGATACAGGTATCATAAAATGATAAAGTGCTCTGTGTAAGTCAAGTAAATGTACTTAGTAATTAGTGACATGAATTCAAATGCAGATTTTTTAGGTTTTAAGCGATTTAAAAAACTAACATTTTAAAGTTTATCGTAAATAGCAACACAATAATCCATGTAGAACTCAACCTACCTAAAATAACTTTCGATATTCGACGTGATATTTACAAAGTGCAGTACCTTGACTGTAAAATAAGAACCTTATCAGGAGTATAGTGTTCTTAAAACTTAGATTCCTTTGTTAGGCTGCTGGCCACTCTGGCTATATCAATGCAGATTGTATTGGTGAAGGAAATCGGAGCATACCAAATCAGAGTGCCCAGACAGAAGCGACCACCTTCGGCAGGACAACTTGCAATCCTTGTCAATTAAGACCGGAAACGAATACCTCGCCACGAATGGAGGTCGAACCCACAACCAAGCTAGGGCTCACTGTAAACGAATCTCTTAGACCACTCGTTCTCCGAGGTCCCTTAAAACATTTGAGAGTTTTATTATATAAATATGAATATGGTTGTTGTACGAATAGACTTAGATACAATGAGATACATCTCTACTTTAAATGATCATTAAAGTTAAGTGATCATTTTTCCGGCTGAAAGTTTAAAAGCCAGGTTATATCTAGCTTTAAGAAAGTCGAAGTTTATGTTTAAATAAAAAAAAATGTTAAGCGTAATTGAAATAGAAAGTTAACACTGATATTATTTTTTATAATGAATGGAGATGTAAGATATGCGTCATTGAGACAGCAACCCAACACACAAATAACAAATTAAGTCTAGAGTTCTTAAAAAAGTATTTTTACAGAGAATAACGTATCCAATATAATGTGAGAATCTACCTTCGATGTACAACTCCCTTCCATAGCAGACAGAATCTTTATTCCTAGTTACCATTGTTTTTAAGAAATCTCAGTGAGAGAAATGGTCTTACCAGTATTTACTTGGATATTCCTGCGATTTACCTACCAATTTTGAACTAAATGACCATGACACATGGTATAGAGAGAGATATATACCACTTTAGTTAATTGTGGTCAAGATACAAATAATTCCCTTATATACAGGACATTGGATGTTTTTCCTCTACGAGCAATCTATTTTTCCCGACAGAATTCTATAAGGAATATATCTATCAGCACTTAAGTACCATATTGCAATCGTGTTGGTCTCTTCAGTATTTTTTACAAATGTATCAGTCAATGTCCGGGAAAAAAACATCCGACAAAAGACTACCGACTGGTTGAAATGTCAGAATTTCTAAACAGATTACAGAATCATTATCCAAAATAGCCTTACCTTTATGATGAATAATATTCTACGTGAACATGTCATTGTCAACATAGGAATCAATAATCCGGTAATGTATTGCGGAATAATCAATATTTGTACAGAGGTGTGTGCAATGGATTAAAATGTTACGGTAGAAAACGGATATATGTGCATCTGGTACAATACATAAATGCGAACACTATTTTCGGCATAATTAAATGAAAATTGGAACTGGTATTCAATTTAAAGAATAAAATCAGAGATGAAAGGAAAAAAAATAGATGGATGTTACTTTGACATTTTCTCAACAACAATAACAAAAAATTTTGAACAAATCAACGTTTTAACCATATCCAACTTTTCGATGTTATTTATAAGAATATAAATTTTTTTCGAAAAATGGTTTAAACATGGTTTTGACGAGTACGGCTTGCCATAACGAACCTTATCACTAAAACTGAACGTCGACCAACGAACCATGAAAAGTGTCATGTTTAGGAGAACCCTGCCAGACGGACATGTATAGCTTATAAATCATACCATACACCAAAACCTAACATTGATCACTGATCCATGAAATTAGATCAAGGTCAGTTAACCCTGCCTGCCGGACATTTACACCTTCCAATCTGTCCACACATCAAATATAGTCCTAATATTTACAATAGGTTAAGAAGAAGAAAAAAATAACACATGATTTTTTTCAGCAGTAGAATAATGAAAATTATGTCAACGACAAAGGACATTTGCCAGACAGAACCTTCCGAAAATATCGCAGTTGTTTAGGTCTCCAACCTTCCATAGTATATAAACTTTTACAAAGAGGTAAGTTAAACGCTGCCAGATAAGCATCCCTATCTCTCACATTCTGTGAAATTCGTAGCATGCAAGAACAATTGCGATTGGACATCTAGTTGTTTAAATTCGTTATCTACTCCAGCTTACGTCCTATATACTGTTATAAATGGGTGTGCAAAAACTTGGACCCATAAGCTGTGTAACTCTTTATACGGAATCTTAATATAGGCATATTGCTTTATAGCTTGCTGTTCGGTGAGCCAAGGCTCCGTGTTGAAGACCGTACTGTGACCTTTAATGGTTTACTTTTATAAATTTTGACTTCGATGGAGAGTTGTCTCATTGGCACTCATACCACATCTTCTTATATCTATTGAAAAGATCTGTATTTAAGAAAATAAAGAAAATGATAACCAAAGAACATACATAACAACTTTCCTATAAAATGCTGTTTGTAATGGTTTATATCTTTTTAAAATGTTTTGTGTACATATGAATATGGCACAAACACTTCTTGTTCTACAAACTGTAAACATGGTATTAAACGAAGCAAATCTAAAATAATGTTAATCAAATTCAAGATGAAACTATAGCCATTTATGATTTAGATTTTGCATTGTTGACATTTACTGATAAACGCATCTAGATTGGATTAAAAGGTCAATCGGATATAAAATTATCCGGAAATTACCTGTTTGTTTGTTTTGTTAAAAAGGGGAGGGACGTTAAATGAATTTAAACCCGCAGTACACCAAACACCAAAGTTGTGTATAATATACATACATACCTCGTATTTAAATTAAACTTTAAGTACTCTTATATGTATCACGTTATCTACTTCCGTTGCTACAATTTTAATTCGCACTATATCATTTCCTCTCTCACCTCCGCCATTTGAATTTGTTTTGTTGTCGTCATGTGAAAGTTACATGTACAAAGGGATTCCATTGTTTTATACAGTTACATGTAAAGTACAAAACAATTTATTTCAAATATCGCCGAGGGGCAATACAACTATAAAACTTGGTCAATGTTAAACGTTGACTTTTTTTGTAGGAGGACGATTTATTAACATGTTTAATCGGATATGTTTTATAAATATTCAAATAGAAATTTAATATATTTAGAATTTACTCACTAGTTTGAATATCGCATGATAAAACAATCCACACATACATCCTTCCTTGTAGACATCATAAATATATTTATAAATACACTTTATCTTTGTACATACCTTCAGATATCAACACTATGCAATCGACAATTTCAAGTCTCCTATTTCATTAGTAGTAAAGTTTTATCAGTCCTTTATTTGTACTACATAGAGATAACGACACACAGTCATCTCACATATCCCGAGATCCTCTTACAGGCGGAGAACGTACATTGGATTTCTAAGATCAGTAAATTAATATCGGATCTTTTAAATTATCAATTAACATCTCATGTCTCAATTACTATTTCATTGAATTTACAAATAATCGCTATTTAACAACATGTGTCACCATTTAAGCATTTTCCTTCAAACACATTAAGCGATACTTATGTCAAAATTTGTTGAAATTAAAATACGTGTACATGAATAAGTTAAACACTGTGCGGAAGTCTTTACAAGTGTTTGATACTTGAAATGATTGTACACAAGATGTAGACCATATGAATATGCATGAAAATTTACAATTTTTGAAGTAATAAATCAAATATTTTTAAAGTTGATAAGATAAACATATAATTTATTGATGTATGGGGATTCAAAATTTTCAATAGCGTACGTTACTATAGTCTTCCCGTTTTACCAACTAATCTGCTGACGAGCTGATATGTGATAAAAAAAATGAAAAATATATTTATTGTAGATAAGTTTTGATAAAATACTTGGAAGCGATCATATTAAGTAAAACTGGAAGAACTTGGAATAAACAGCACAACTGGTAATCCTACATATTCTTTAACATCATTTACAAAGGATGAAATTTTACAAAATCATACATCTGTCCTTCTATCTTTTAGTATCAACATCAAAGAAAACGAAGAAAATTTACCGTCATTATACTGGATACCAAAACTTCACAAAACTCCGTATAAAGAACGATACATAGCTGGATCATCAAGATGGGTTCCACTAAACATCTTTCTAAAGTACTGGCTACTATTCTGTCTACAGTAAAAGATGGCCTTCTAAAATATTTGTGATGAGATATATTCTACCAGTGGTGTTAATCAGATGTGGATTCTCAAAAATTCTAAAGATCTACTGCTAAATCATAGATCACAATCTTTGCAATTTTGCAGAAACATTAAGACTTTTGATTTTTCTACGCTTTACACTACTATTCCCCATGATCAATTGAAAGATCGACTTCACCATCTCATTAAACAGAGCTTTTTCTATAAAAGTGGGAATCGTAGATACAAATTTCTTGTTTTGGGTTATAATAATTCTTATTTTGTGAAGAACCACACTAATTCTACCAGAAAATATACCGTGGCTGAAGATGATATTATGAAAATGCTGTACTTTTTGATCGACAATATATTTATTTCAACAGACAGTCAGTATTCCAATGGGTACTAATTGTGCACCCCTACTGGCCGATTTGTTTTTGTACTCGTATGAAGCAGAATTCATTCAGAACCTTCTAAAAGACAAAAAGAAAAAGCATCTTGCGAAATTCTTTAATTTTACTTTCAGATATATTGATCATGTCCTATCACTGAATAAACCATATTTCAGCCAGTACTTACATCTCATATATCCCAGTGAACTTGAAATTAAGGTTACTACTATTACTAGAAGGACTGCTTCATACCTTGATCTCTTCCTCAATATTGACACAGATGGACGACTTCGCACTAAAAACTATGACAAACGGGACGATTTCAACTTCCCAATTATCAATTTCCCATTTCTCAGCAGTAACATACCCTCTGCCCCCTCGTATGGTGTTTACATATCTCAGTTGATACGTTATGCTCGTGCATGTTCACACTATACGGACTTCATATATAGGAGTGTGCTCCTTACGCAGAAACTGCTCCAACAAAGTTATGAGGAGGACAGATTAAAAATGACACTCCGTAAATTTTATGGACACTATCACGAATTGGTTGATCCATACGATGTGTCTGTGACTAAACTAAATAAGGACATGTTTCCACGTCTTAGATTATGGTTTACCATTTACGTCGTAAGTACAGAACGTGACCTATATTAATATTCTTGTAATTGTTACAAAATACATCAAATAACATATAGAAACCTTATCTTTATTTATATCCAATTTTTTGAAATTTACCTCTGACGTTACTTTTTGTTGCTTGTGGCGTTGATCCATTCGTGTTACAGACACACACTTCGTAATTATATTAAGCTGTTTTTGTGAACTGTCCTAAATTATTTTAGTTATTCGTTCTTATTCTGTGGTTAACATGTTGAAATGTACTATTATATTATTTATTTATGTATTTCTCTGTCTTTGATGTTTTTGCATTTATTTGTACTCTGTTCCCGTCATGTAATGTTGTCATTTTAGCGGTATATTTAACATTGCTATAAAGCGCGGAGATTTGGCTAGCCACAAAACCAGGTTCAACCCACCATTTTTTCTTAAAATGTCCTGTACCAAGTCAGGAATATGGCAGTTGTTATTTAATAGTTTGTTTCTATGAATGTTGCATTGTTGTTTGTTTTTTGTTGCACTTCTGTGTTCTGTTATTTCGTTGTTTTCCTCTTATAGTTGATGTGTTTCCCTCGGTTTTAGTTTGTTACCCGGATTTGTTTTCTCTCAATCGATTTATGACTTTTGAACAGCGGTATACTACTGTTGCCTTTATGTTTGTTCATATAAATGTCGTAAAATTTATTGAGATTGATTGTTGTTTGCTTAACTTCCAGTGTCAAATATTTCATATATATTCAGGACTATATCAAAATAAGGCGATACATGCAAGAAAGTCTAGATTGAGTTTACAAAATAGAGATTGACAATGTGTGCACATCCAAAAAATTTATTTAATGTTTTATAACTAGTGTCAAGCTATCCAGCAATTCTCATCCTGCAATTCTCTTTATAAAAAGCTATCCTGCAATTCGTCATCCTGCAATTGCGTTTGGAAAACTATTTGGGCGACAATTTTATTTTTCTTTAAAATCATAGTTTTTGACTTTTTGTTCGAAAACAAGATTTATATAGAAAATCAAAGATTTTTATATCCCATAACAAAATTCTAACTTTAGTTTGAAGATTTCTAACTCATATTTACGGTTTTGTAATTACCATTTACAATAAAAAAAAATCATGATGACGATTCAAACAAAGTATTATCTGTTAAGTCCAGGATGTGATTCGTATTAACGCATGTTTAACCCATATTTGCAATTTTCAAAAACTCATATTAACGACTAAAAATGTAGAATTTGATATATAATAAATTCTGTCATGGAAAACCGACAATACAACTTCTATCTGAAACTTCATAACTCACGTTTCCGACCCATTGCCTCGACAGTTCTGTGGCTAGGGATTATAGAGACTGCCCTAATAAATAGCTATTGGATAGTACTACAGCGGGAGAGTAAAGAATTTCTGGGGTGAGCATTCTTAGAGACCAAATAATTTTGTCCGTAACACGGAAAAAAAAGTCAAATTTGATAAAATAAGCATTGGGGGTCATCCACGTTCCAACTCATTGCCTTGGCAGTTCTGTATGGCTAGGGATTATAGATTCTGCTCTAATAAATAGCTTTTTGATAGTACTACAGCGGGAGGGTAAATAATTTCTGGGGTAAGCATTCTTAAAGGCCGAAAATGTCGTCCGAAACATGGAAATAAAGCCGAATTCGATAAAATACGCATTGGGGAAACCCACTTTCCGACCCATTGTCTCTGTAGTTTTTTTATTGCTAGGGATTATAAACGCTACCCTAACGTATAGCTATTGGACAGTACTACAACGTTAGGGTAAAGAATTTCTGGGGTAAGCATTCTTAAAGACCGAACATTTCGTCCGTAACACGAAAAAAAAAGTCAAATTTGATAAAACACGCATTGGGGGTCATCCACTTTCCAACTTATAGCCTTGGCAGTTCTGTATGGCTAGGGATTATAGATTCTGCTCTAATAAATAGCTATTTGATAGGACACTACAGCAGGAGGGTAATGAGTTTCTAGGGTAAGCATTCTTAAAGGCCGAAAATGTCGTCCGAAACATGGAAATAAAGCCAAATTCGATAAAATACGCATTGGGGAAACCCACTTTCCGACCCATTGTCTCTGTAGTTCTTATATGGCTAGGGATTATAAAACGCTGCCCTAACGTATAGCTATTGGATAGTACTACAACGTGAGGGTAAAGAATTTTTGGGGTAAGCTTTCCTAAAGACCGAAAATTTCGTCCGTAACACGAAAAAAAAAAAGTCAAATTTGATAAAATACGCATTTGGGGTCATCCACTTTCCAACTCATTGCCTTGGCAGTTCTGTATGGCTAGAGATTATAAATTCTGCTCTAATAAATAGCTATTTGATAGTACTACAGCGGGAGTGTAAAGAATTTCTGGGGTAAGCATTCTTAAAGGCCGAAAATGTCGTCCGAAACATGGAAATAAAGCCAAATTCGATAAAATACGCATTGGGGAAACCCACTTTCCGACCCATTGTCTCTGTAGTTCTTTACGGCTAGGGATTATAAACGCTGCCCTAACGTATAGCTATTGGACAGTACTACAACGTTAGGGTAAAGAATTTCTGGGGTAAGCATTCTTAAAGACCGAACATTTCGTCCGTAACACGAAAAAAAAAGTCAAATTTGATAAAATACGCATTGGGGGTCATCCACTTTCCAACTCATTGCCTTGGCAGTTCTGTATGGCTAGGGATTATAGATCCTGCTCTTATAAATAGCTATTTGATAGTACTACAGCGGGAGGGTAAAGAATTTCTGGGGTAAGCATTCTTAAAGACCGAAAATTTCGTCCGTAACACGAAAAAAAAAAGAGTCAAATTTGATAAAATACGCATTGGGGGTCAACCACTTTCCAACTCATTGCCTTGACAGTTCTGTATGGCTAGGGATTATAGATTCTGCTCTAATAAATAGCTATTTGATAGGACACTACAGCAGGAGGGTAATGAGTTTCTAGGGTAAGCATTCTTAAAGGCCGAAAATGTCGTCCGAAACATGGAAATAAAGCCAAATTCGATAAAATACGCATTGGGGAAACCCACTTTCCGACCCATTGTCTCTGTAGTTCTTTATGGCTAGGGATTATAAAACGCTGCCCTAACGTATAGCTATTGGATAGTACTACAACGTGAGGGTAAAGAATTTTTGGGGTAAGCTTTCCTAAAGACCGAAAATTTCGTCCGTAACACGAAAAAAAAAAGTTAAATTTGATAAAATACGCATTGGGGGTCATCCACTTTCCAACTCATTGCCTTGGCAGTTCTGTATGGCTAGAGATTATAAATTCTGCTCTAATAAATAGCTATTTGATAGTACTACAGCGGGAGTGTAAAGAATTTCTGGGGTAAGCATTCTTAAAGGCCGAAAATGTCGTCCGAAACATGGAAATAAAGCCAAATTCGATAAAATACGCATTGG